GTAGATAAATACTAACCTATTTAGGTCTACTTAAATACTTGTTTTATATATCCATTCATATAAACGGAGAAAACTTTTTCTATACATTGGTTGCAAATACACCTCAATTGAAAGTTTTAAGTGTTCTTTTCATGTAAATACAAAATTTCCTTCGCAGAGAGTGTTGAAAGCAAAGCTGGAAGAGGCACTGATTTCAGAAAGAAATGGCGTCACCCAGCAGTTTTTGTTTCTGATATACACAACAACTTCGGGTACAAATTCACATCTAACAAATGCGTAAATTTGAAACCATTTTAGATTGCTTGGCAAGAACTTTGCAATTGCTTGGCCGAATACGTTTAAATGTTTAAGGGCACTGATCATCAGACAGCCGTGAACCATCAACACACACAGCAACATTCACTTTGGTTATGGTGTCGGGATCCACCTTTGTGTTGCATATCGCGTAGGTTGTAGATCCTGGTGGCCTGTACCCCTCGCGGGAGGGTGTTTCTACGCCGCGAAGTCTTATTCCTGTCATCAACCAGCCATGCACGTACTCTGGCACCGCCGTTATTGACATATCGGTATGGTTGACTACCACTGTCTCCTCCTCCTCCACTTCCGTAGAAACCAGTGTTGACGACGTAAAAATTGTTGTCGCCTCCGCTTCCATAATAACCACCACTGTCGCTTCTACCTCCATAACCACCAACGTCGCCTCCACCATGAAAACCACCACCTCCATGAAAACCACCACCTCCATGAAAACCACCACCTCCATGAAAACCACCACCCCCATGAAAACCACCGTCACTACCACCACCACCACTACCATCACCATAGCCACTACCACCACCGTCACCTCCACCACCACAGCCACCACCAAAACCACCACCATCGCCTCCACCATTACCACCATCACAGCCACCACCACCACCACCATCGCCTCCGCCATCACCCATTATCTGAAAAAAACCATTTACATAATTATATAACATATATTACACGAATTAAGCCTCCAGCAGAGGCAAGTTTGGGCACTCAAGAGGACCAACAAGTATTTACGAGTTATCCTGTAAGACTGTACACCGCTTGATTCTCACTTAACACTTCCTTATATACACAGATCCTCTTATTTGCTTAACTGATCTACTCGCTAAATACACCAGGTTAATGTACATTTAGATCTGAATCACTCTTTCTCATTGACTTGTTAGTTAAATACAACCAATGTTAATGGCGTGCTAATTTGTAATCGAGGAGAGGGTTAGTGAAATTATTAATTAATATAACCAGCCAGATATATAATGACAAAAATTAAATAATTGGAGATATAAATTAAAAACCGATAGGATATTTTTAAATCAGAAATGTGAGTTTATTTAATAGCCAGTTCGTTCTCATAACGAATCCATTACCATTGATGTAGTGGTGGACTAGTAAAACATTGACTTTTGCATTATTGAATTTGGCCAAATTCAATTTTTTTTTTTTTAACCGCAACATAAATATAAGACCCAATCTACCATACCCTCTCCTAGCAATCCTAGGCCTAATACACGTTATCTTAGGATTGATGATTGATAAAGATTAAGCCAACCAAGAGGTGGCACGGGCATGAATAGTTGTAAGTTATCTTAGGCCTAATACAGTACATATATGTGATGCCCATCTGTCACTGGCAGTTCACAACAAACCGCGGAGGAATGTTATTCACTTCCTACTGCTATAAAGTTTAAAAAAGTAGACTTTGATAAACATATTCGTATATTTGTAGACAAATGGAGAACTAAGTAAAAAGTACTCACTACTTACAAAATTGAAAACGGGCTTTTCACTATCTTTGTGTACAGTAAATTGTCCTCTCACGAGTGGCTACACGCCTGAGAAACTATGTACTGTGTATATCTGCTCAAGTAAACATGTATTTACATAGCAACTGAACACGATCAATAGACTGGGTGACGTTACTCATTTGCAGTCCGCCATATTGGTTACTGCCGACTCGCTATGAACGAGCACCTTGTCCCAAGTTGTGATTGGCTGTTAATAATGACATCATTTCACCCTCTGCGGTGATTGGCTGTTGTTGGTGACATCACGACTCGCAAAAATGTCTATAAAACGGTGATATACTGTTGATGATGATATGACAAATCACGATTATTGGCCGTTTATAATAATTTCACTTTACCCAAGCGGTGATTGGCTGTATATAATGACATCACTTTACCAAAGCGGCGATTTGTTTTTTAATAATGGCATAACTTTGCCTAAATTATTATTAGCTGTTGATAATGACATGTGACTTACGCACAGTGATTAGCTGTTAATGGTATCAGCCAAACGGTGATTGGCGGTCGTTGATGACGTCAGGTCTCCCAAGTGGTGATTGGCAGTCGTTAATGACGTCAGGTCTCCCAAATGGTGATTGAGTGCTGATGAAAACACTACACCCAGCTGTGATTATTTGCTTGATGACATCACTACACCAATGCGGTGATTGGCTGTTGATAGTAACATATAAATATGTCGTTATTTGACGTACCCTGAGTCTGACTATGAAGTTAAGCAAAAAAGGCACCCCCTAAAATATGTAGTTAAATGTCTTACTAATAAAGTAAAGAGTTGTTTAACCTATACTTATTAAGAAGTAAAACAAAATAAAGCACCTAATTTTCTCATTATGGTAGGCTATCCACATCATTGTTAGTCTCCTCATTATGCAAACTATATTAATTATTGTATTACATCTACCCAAGTACCTTAATGTACTAATTCACATAAGTGAAGGTTATCGCATACTACCTAAAAAAATAACGCATTCATAAATATAACTAATATATTATGATACGTCCACTAATTATATTAATTCCCTTTGGAACAGGACGCTATCGAGGTCCAGTCAGCCTAGGAATGATCTGATCGGTGATGGCATGAAGTTCTTGAGAAAGGCTTAACCAGCATAAGGCTGTTGATTGCTGAGCGCCTTGGTTTGTGATTGACGACTTTGGTAGTTCACGAAATTGGGACAGATGAGGAACGTTGAAAACATTTGCCTTCTACATAACCGTAAGTCCGCCGATACCTCAAGTTCAAGTATGTTTATTGAGACAAGAAAAACATACATCTCAAAGGGATAGAGTAACTTAGGCTATTTCTACTCCCCAAACCGACACCTCTTGGGAAGTGAAATCTACACTAGTAATTCCATCTATCATTATACTATCAAGCAAGAAGAGCCACACATCTATGGATCATCCAATAAAATCAGCAGACTCCTATAGATGTTCCCTTCAAGGCAAATGGGGGGCTCTTTGACAAGCCTCGAGGCCACTAGTGTTAGTGACTCAGGTAAACTCGGGCAAATTACTGCTCCTGTCCACCTAGCAGTAAATAGGTACCCATGAGTTAGCTTGTTGTGGGGTTGCATCCTGGGAAGGGGGGTCAGTAGTTAGACCTTTGGGATACCCCCAATATAAGCCTAACAATTATTTATTTTGTATTTATTTGTTGATTTATATATACAAGAGTTCTTAGATTCTCGTACAGCCACTAGCACGCATATCGTTTTGGGTTTAAGTCCTTAATCCTAATATTCCCCAGAATACGACCCGCCAAATTGTTTAACACCCAGAGGTACCCATTTTACTGTTGGGTAAACAGAGGCTCAAAGACGCCTACAAACGCGACCTCAAGCAGATGAACATTGACATAAACATTTGGGAGGCAGCAGCTGCGGACAGATCTGCCTGGAGATGCAAAGTGTAGATTAAGAGACTCCAGCAATTCGAGAGTGAACTGAAGAGGCAGGCGGAGGATAATAGATTTCAGAGGAGGTTTCTACCACTGTCAGACGCACGCACTTCGGCGTTTACCTGCGCTCGCTGCGGTCGGGACTGTCATTCTCGGGTTGGCCTTCACAGCCACAGCAGGCGCCTGTATGACTACTAAACATAGGCAACAGCTTTCGAGGAGCCACGGGAGACATTTCCCGTCACGCAGGGTGCAGTCGCACCTCCACAGATCTCCAGTATCAGCTCTTGATACTGGTAATGACTCAAAAGGGCCACCACTTACGGGCTATTCATGTCCGTGCCACCTGTTGTGTGGCTTAATCTTCATCAATCAATCAATTTCGAGGAACACACCAGTTGACTAAGTCCAGGATACCTACTTACTGTAGGTAATATTAATTACTGGGATACTGATATAACGAAGGAACCGCCTACCCGCCAAAGCCCTAACTGCCAAAATAAATTGTGTTGAGTTTTAAAATATAAATAGAAAGATCATCAAGGCAAATGGGGGCACCTTCGACAAGCCGCCGGCTTCCTGTCTTCGGCCCACTAAGGTTAGTGGCCCCCTCAGGTAAATAAGTGAACAGAGGCGTCAGGGAAACAAAACGTGGCCACGCATGAAGTGGTTGTGCCCAACCATTTCTGCTGCGCCCGAGGATTGGAAGGAAGGATTGTGAGTGAAGAACGAATCCTCCTGCACTCTGTCACCCATTGTGATGTGTGTATATATGTATGTATTAACACGATATACTGAACGGGGCGAGAATAGCTTGAGCTACCTCATCCCTTTGTGTGTATTTTGCCTCAATAAATTTATTTCAATTTCAATTTCTGTCACCCTTCATACATAATAAGGTAGCAGCACATTGCTGCATGTACCTAAGCTAGTTAATAAACACTTTACGGTTCTTATATTGTATACCTTCACTACACTCTTAGCTTTAATTAAAGTTACCGGAACCGTTATACGTGTTATAAATATTAAAATAATTTAATTTTAAGAATTTACACACCAAAAATTGTTACAAAACCTATTGTATAACCTATGTAAATATTAAAAAAAAGTATATAAGTAAATCAAACCTCACTAGCTTTATCTATAAATCTATCAATTTTTGTATAACCTCTTGTATGTATGTACTTTACCTGAATAAACATTTATTTATTTATTATTTATTCATTTAGGATGAGATCGGGGGGGGGGGGGTGGAGCGTCCCTAGCAACGCCCCTCAGGTCCCCCTAGCAACCGTCCCACCACTGGTCAAAGGTCGCTGGATAACTTACTACATACTTGACTACATACTGTATTATGTATTCTGGCCCCCAGCTGTCACGGTGACTGGCAGCATACCCCACTCCGGCTTCTCATGTAAGGCTCTCTATATACTGTATACTCTATATACTATATGCTAAACATTAACTTACTTCACACATTCTCTTGTGCCATTTACAAAACCCTATTCTTAAATGTGAACCCTGTTCTGAAACTCTTCCTGGATAGATGTAATAGGACCCATAATCACCACACCAGACATAAATATCTCTTGATATCCCCAGAGTTAAACTTAATCTATGTAAACACACTATGCAAATAAAGGGACCAAGTCTATTGAACTCCCTAATGAATTGAAAAGCTGTCCAACTTTTGCCTTTATTCAAAAACAAAACCAAAAAAGTACCCAATTTCATCTTGGTAGTTTCCTACCTTGTGCTTTTAAACTGAATGTACAGTAGAAACATCTATGCTATGTACTTTCATAAACCCAATGTACCTTCTTGTGTATATATATATATATACAGTATATATATATATATATAAATGCTGTAAATAAACACTATATACATATGGCTTGGGATACATGAGTGTTTTACGTAGGACTACGAACTACAGAATGTTTGAATGATGTCGCTTAGCTAAACCCAGGTGAAGTTTTCCAATCCTTACTTTGGTTTTGTTTTAATGTTAATTATTTTGAATGATATTCTTTTTAGAAATAGTGTTGTGTAATACAATATATTTTAGATGTAAGTAAGTGATTTATTTTTTTGCCATGTGAGGTATATCATTTAGAGCCTGATGATGATGACTCCCATGAACCGTTACACACCAGCAGTGCCAAAAATGGTGCCCAGAATTATACCAAGTACTGTTCTTGCCAAGCCGATACACCTCACACACACTACACTCTTCCTAACACACTCACAATTCTCTTTTATTTTTGTTAGATTAGGATAAATTAGGTTAAAATAAATTAGGCTAAAATAAGTTAGGCTAGGATAAGCTAGGTTAGGATAACTTAGGTTACAATAAGTTAGGATAGAATATCACAGGTTTGTTTAAGGAGTAGCAGTGACAAGGAGAGACATACCTGGCACTTTTTCTTAGCCCTGTTTGAATATTGTGTGCATGCAACTGCTCTACACGTACTGATACAATGTGTTGCCTAGGCACTGTAGGCAGTATGGTTTGGTTTGGTTTCCTGTTATCAGAGCCAGGAAGCCAGTTAGGATTGTCACGGACCTCCTAGCAAAGGGCAATGCTGGCTGCATGGTCATCCAACCAACTACTTGCCAGACTTGCCATTGTTTAACTAATATAAATAGTTAATTAACTGCCATAAACCAGCCCATCCCCTTAAGGCATCACAGCGTCACTAAAATGGTGTACAAAATTGCTTGAACCTAACTCAACTCAGAACCCATGAATAGAAAATGAGACATCATGTAAATTTTGCAAGCCACTATAATTTTTAGTACATTTTACATTGACATTTTGGGTTTTTATGTCAAAATACGATGTGTTATGTTAGAGAAGTTCAGTGTGCCCTGTAACACAGTGGTTATTGTAGTCTGCTCTCGACAGATTGGTCCTTAGTTCAATTCCTAGGCAGAGTGTGAATTTGTCATATTTCCATGTTCCTGCATCCTAGAAGGTGTAGTCGGGTTATCCATCCTCAGGTTATCCGGGACCCCTCTTCCCGGTAGTACGAAAATGAAACTTCAGTGCACATGAACAGCTTCACCATAATTCTGGGAAAAATTAATTACAGAAACCGAAGTGTGTAATGATAATTAAGCAGTCATTTTTTTATGCACTGGCCTTTGGTATATATTTTCAGGGCTGGAATGATGACTTTCTTCAGTGACTCCCTCAGCACGATTTGACTACAGGGATGCTTGAAAATTCCCTGCAGCATTGTGTTGTAACTGTGTGATTTCATGATCTTGTGTTTAACAATATGATCTTACACAAGGGTAGCAGTTCATGTGTGCTCAAGTCCTTGTAAAATGACTTGTATTATACAGTACTGTGTGTTGTATTATACAGTACTGTGTTGTATTATACAGTACTGTGTGTAATTTATTTGTGTGATAAACCTTTTACCATATTAGCCATGTAAACTTATTATATTATACATGTTAATTTAATAACAAATAATTTAATGTTTTGTTAATTATTCATTATATTGCAACTTAATGTCAATATGTTTCTCTACAGGTAATAAACATCTTCAGCAAACCCAAATCACATTCTAGTTTAATAAGGCAGAATGGGGAGGAAAGTGGTGGTAGCAGCCTGCTGCCTAAACCAGTGGGCCATGGACTTCCAGGGTAACCTGGAGCGCATCATTGATTCCATTCAGCAAGCAAAGGCAGCTGGAGCTATGTATAGGAGCGGTCCTGAACTTGAGATTCCGTAAGTTGGTATTTCTCTCTAAATTTCATGAAAATAATTTGGGGTTATTTGTTTTGCTATTGTCATCTTGTAGACGGTACCAACCTGGGAGATTAGTGTATACTGTACTATATTATGTTTTTTTTTTTTTTTTTTTTTTTTTTTTGAGATATATACAAGAGTTGTTACATTCTTGTACAGCCACTAGTATGCGTAGCGTTTCGGGCAAGTCCTTAATCCTATGGTCCCTGGAATACGATCCCCTGCCGCGAAGAATCGTTTTTTCATCCAAGTACACATTTTACTGTTGCGTTAAACAGAGGCTACAGTTAAGGAATTGCGCCCAGTAAATCCTCCCCGGCCAGGATACGAACCCATGACATAGCGCTCGTGGAACGCCAGGCGAGTGTCTTACCACTACACCACGGAGACTGTAAATGTTTAAAACTGTCATCTCATTATGGTTGGAGGAAGCAGGTAAGTACCTAGTTAAGTAATTCAAAGTTACAAAGTGGAGATTAAATGTTTTGTGACTTTTATTTTAAGCTGGTGGTTCACTTTGGCTCAACTTCGATCCTAATATGCACTTCCCCACTCCTTATTGCAAGGTTTCTGGGCAAATGGTGGGCTGTTAAGTGAAGACCTAATTATTGGGTTATGTGTTGTCTCAAGGAGGAATATTGCTTTCATTTAATTTGGAATGCACATCTGGTACTCAGAGATGTTTTTATCCTATCTCCAGTTATATCGTAGCAGCTTCAATAACGCTGTAGGGACCATCTGGAAAAAATTGTGGCATCCTTACCCATAATGTCACTGCCTGATTTTTCATGATCCCTGGCCAGAGAACACAGATCATAATTCAGGGTGCACTGAATGGGACAAATTAGAAAGGTACTTTTCATGATGAACTCTATTGTATTTTATTTTGTACATTTCCAGAGGATATAGTTGCGGAGACCACTACTACGAGGGCGATACAATACTTCACTCTTGGGAGGTTGTTGCCGAGTTGCTACGTCATCCTTCATGTTCAGACATCATAATTGATGTTGGCCTTCCAGTTATGCACAAAAATGTTACCTACAATTGTAGATTAGTGTTCCTAAACAGGTAAGAGCCTTCTATTTAGACAGTGTATGGTACACGTTTATTTATATAATACTGTACAGTACTATGTACAGTATATGAACTGTAAGAGCTCGGTAATTCAGATTTCTATAACCCAAATCTCTTAATAATTCAAATGAAAATTCATGGTTCAGTTTTTTACCTATTAACCCGAATAAAAATTTCGATTACTGAGATTTCTGCCGAGTGGAAACCCGAATAAATTGGAGTTTAAATTTGTTACTTCTCAAGTCAAGATGTATATCAGAGTTTCTATTTAATGCAGAATGAATTCATTTTTGGTTGTATTATTGATTAGATTCTTCAACCTAAAACTATTAAATATACACTTTTGATTTTTTATTCTAATTTCTTAAGTTAAATTTATCTTTCTCTAAAACTTAAATTTAGATTCATATATAAAATATGCAAAAATTATTTAGTTGTTTACCACTTAATATGTGATATTTAGGTTTTTTCATGATATGGGTAAAATATATATGATTATAAAAAGGATAGTTTTCCTCACACAGGAAAATTCTTCTCATCCGTCCAAAGCTAATTTTATGCGATGATGGTAACTACCGGGAAACCAGATGGTTCACTGCCTGGCGCAAGGTAAGATGAATTTTTAAATTTACCTACTAGAAATTTACCACACTGGAAAATGAAAGTATATTTCACATATGGTATTTATTTTTACTGAATGTACACAGTATTAATGTTTTTGCAGTGCTATATGTTTCAAATAGTAACTTAGAATTGTATTCCTTCGCTGATGAACAAATATACTGTAATCCCAAGCTTTTCCTTGTACGAGTCTCAAGTCAATATGCATGTGTATAAGTTTTTTAGACTTATTTAACTTGTGAATAACCAGCAAAGTGAATAACATTACTGAGTCACCCTCAGCCATTAACCTAATATTTTGTATATGTCAACCTGTACCAGTCATAACCCTCCCTCACTTGTCAGACCCGTCAAGTGGAGGATCACTATTTACCAAGAATGATAAGCAAACTAACGGGACAAATCACAGTGCCATTCGGTGATGCACTTATTGCCACCAGAGACACTTGCATTGGCTATGAAATTTGTGAAGAACTTTGGAATCCAGAAAGGTAGGCTAGTATGATTTTAGATTTAATTAGATAACACTATCACATGGAGTATAGATGTGTTGACATCACTGTCCGCCATTGTGTGTTGCAGTCATTAGTTGCAAATATTTTGTGTAATTTCCTCTTCAAAAAAAATATTCAATAATATTTTTATTCGATTTGATGTTTTATAGACATTTTAAGGAATATGTATACGTGTTTGTGATCCAGACCTGAGAGAATTGTCTAAGGAGTACCTCTAAGGATGATCACACTGATGTTTATTTCAGTTCTCACATCCCAATGTCTCTTGATGGTGCAGAGATAATTGTAAATAGCTCCGGTTCGTACACCGAGATACGGAAGGGCTACGTGTCTCGAGATCTCATAAAATCTTCAACTGCCAGAAGTGGAGGATGCTATCTTTTTTCTAACCAACGAGGATGTGATGGTAAGACTTGACTCTTGTGTTCAAGTTGCCTGACAATAATTTGCTACTTTGTGTTGGTCAAATTGATTATTTGGCTATCAGCTATGTCATTAAATATATTTAATTACACATGTCAATTATGATATACAATTATGTTCTAGTTGATGGTGGATTAAATTATATTTTCCTTGTCTTATCTTCCTAGTTAGATATAACAAGTGGATTTGAAAAATTTTTGTTAGTGGGGGGGCACAGGCCAATGAGATACTAGCTAGGGGAGAGAACAAGGGGCTACTCGGCAAGGAATGTTTTTGTTTACGTCTATTTTTTACCATGTGCTTTTCTGTCTTTTTTTCTACTACTGTACTGTATTTTTTCTTTTATCACTTGTATATTCTTACATATCAATCCTAAGCCTACTCGCATATCTTTATTGTTCAATATATGTAATCAGAAATCTTTTCATTTATGTAGTAGTAAAACCATTAAATGTTTGAGGAAGATCCTAGATAGAGTAATGCCTTCTGGGAGTAATAAAACAAACAAGAGACCAAAGTATAGATCTAATTATTCTCCTTCATCCACAACTTGGACCAACAGGTGACAGAGTGTATTTCTGTGGAGACGGGATGATTGGCCTTAATGGAACAATTGTTGCCCGTGCCACCCCATATAGCTTGTCAGAAGTGGAAGTGATAACTGCAACAATTGATCTTGAATCTATTCGCTGTTATCGCTCATTAATTCGAAGCAGATGCCTCCATGCATCTCAAAGTCAAGCTTATCCTCGTATTCAGGTGATGTCCGGTGATGCCCTATTTATATTTAATGTACAATATATTGTTTATAAAAATATTAAACCTATTAACATCATTTACTTTACTTCAATTATGTTGTGTAAAATATTTATTGCCACTCATAATCAGGTTTCAAATAATTCCATATATTTTTAGAATACTATATCCTTTAAAGTCTTGGGTACATTGAGTATGCTATTCTAGTTATAATATTGTAATTTTTTTAGCTTAAACTGGAGTGGGATATTAAAGCCAGTACTTCGCTTAGCACAGGACGAATCAAAGTACAGTATAAGTAAAGTGGCCTGCTTGAGTGTTGAGACTTGTCAAGGCTTAGGAGTTCTGAATTCTTAAACTGCTGTTGGTTTCTAAGCCATTAACACTAGCCTCTTTACTGCCTGGATTGTTCCTGGAAAGTATTCTTGGAGTTCTTACTGCAGTGATCTGTACAATATATATCTTTAGTTCTCTAGTAAGTATTCCTTACATATATTTTCTTGATTTTTGTTAGTTTTGCAATTTTCACATATCTTCATTTTATTGTATTTTTCCACACCTTCCACTGCATGTTTTCATAATTCTGTATAGCTCCCTAGCTGTATCATTTAATATCTACTTCACACAGCTACACATCACATAAACATTATTTTGCTTCAAATGTTTAATTTCTCATTGTAGCAGAAACTCATTTAGAGCCTGACAAGTGAATTGAGTCTGGGCAGACTCTTCTGGGTCTGACTTGGGGATAAATTGAGGATGCGTTGCTCAGAAAGATAACATGATGAGGCCTTTTGAATTAAGTTTAATTTACATTTTATTAGGTACCTCCCGTTTTACCAGCCGCCTTTTTCTAGTATGTCATTGCTAAAGTATAACAAATCTTAATGCAGATAGTTTTAATGTCTTTTTACAGATAAATTTTGCTCTCTCCAATGATGATGACATATTCCTACCATCATGTGCTCCAATAGAATACACTATCCCACTCCCAGAGGAAGAAATTCTTTATGGTCCTGCTTGCTGGTTGTGGGACTTCTTGCGACGGTCAGGTCAAGGAGGCTTTCTTCTTCCGTTATCTGGTGGTGTTGACTCGTCTGCAACAGCAACTATTGTGTACTCAATGTGCCAGCTAGTTGTAAAGGCTGTTGGTAACGGAGAAGAGAAGGTATACGTATTGGAAATCTTTTGATTTGTTTTGTGTATTCCTTATAGTTTATTTTAAGCAGCATAATTTAGTATGTACAGGTATTTTAAAATATGAATTTTTGTTTTTCTTAAGTGAATGCTGGACTAAGCTGCCTCTTATTTAGGCAGCTTAGTTAGTTTAGGCAGATACACATATAATTTGTATATGTTTTCATAAGGGTTCACTGAAAGCTGGTAATGTTTTTGTTTATACTGTATCATTATGTATTATGTAATGCAGTTTGTACAGTATTGAGGTTTGCACATTTTTATAGGAATAGTGTAAAATATTCTGCCCATAGTTTCTCTCATTATATTTTCTTACTATTTGCAGTGGTATTTAATTTTAGTACAGTTAATTTTTAATAAATTTATAAATTTATTTAAATGTTATAAAATTAAACTAATTTTAGTTTAAATTATAGTTTTTAATTTTAATTTAGTATTATAATCCTTGAGAGTTTAAGCACACATGAAATTGGCTTAGCTCTTGTTTAAATTTCACTTAATAAAAAATGAGCCTTATGACACACAAACCCCACCTGCCTGTACAAAGATAGACATGGATAATACTATATTGCCCTTGCTGAGATTTATGCAGTATCACACAATTTTCTTAAAATGTTGAAATTATCTGACCAGGTACTGGAAGATGTTAGACGTATCGTATCCCAAGCTGATTATGTTCCTCGAGATAGTCGAGAGCTCTGTGGTAGACTTTTCCACACTGTCTATATGGCCACAGAAAATTCCTCATCGGAGACAAAGGCTCGTGCAAAGCTTCTCTCTCAACAAATTGGAAGGTATGATAATATATATAATTTAATGAACCCATCCTCTAATAAAACAGTCACTGGCAGTGACTGAGAGGCATACAGCATGTAAAAAATTATAGTACTGTATACATAAATAATAAACGTGTGGTAATGTTGAAAATTCTTCTCACAAAACTGAATCCAGAACAGAGAATAAAAATGATGGCAACAACAATCTAATCTCTAATTGGCCTAATCATATGTATCCTAGGCTTAACCTAATATACAGTATATTGTAAAATCTTATTTATTTTAGCCATATAGTGCAGTGGTTAACATAGACAGTTTACAACATTAAGGTACCAGATTTGATTCCCACACAAAACTGAGGTGTTTTGCCACATTTCTTTCCTTAAACCTAATGTCTCAGTTCACCTAGCAGTGCATAGATTCCCAAAAGTTAGGCAACTTGCTGGTTGCATCTTGGGAAAAGTAAGTTGTGGGCCTAGGAAGGACCTCGATAAGCCTAACACATTTCAGTTTTTGTGAACATTATTTTCAACAGTACAAAATGTGGATTACAGTACTGTATTGTCTATATGCGCTAGTCACCATTGTGTACATAAACTGTACCTCGGCCACTGTGTGCACCATCTTATTGAAGAATGAGTTGAATTTTACCTGAATTATATTTAATTTTGTTGTTAAATTATTCCCCTTCATTATTATATTCCTAGGCAGGTACCATCACAGCAACAGTATCTACACAAACACCTATGCCGGCACTTACTCGGGCAGCTACACACTTGCATGTGAAGTAATAGACATTTGTGGGATTTGTAGGCTTGATGAACGCTGAAAAGTTGCCACAGTCATTATCTACAGATACTGCATTTTTTTATGCTTGTTTAAGGGTATATTTTGTGTAAGTGCATGACTAGATTGACTCGAGCCCATTGAATATTCTGCTTCTTATTCATGTGTCTAGATATTGCTGCTAAATATGCAGCGAAATGCAGAGGTAAATTATGAACAATCAACATTGTCTGCTCTGACCATGCCTTTTTTAATAATGAGATACTAATATTACTATTATACAGTAGTTTGCAAGCTTTCAAAAATGTCATTTAATCATGGTCTTGTAGTGACAGTCAGCTATGGTGTCCCTGTTTCAATGTCTGAGAAATTAAAACTAATACCTCCAATATACATAACAGTGTCTGCATTGTCCAAACTACTATGTGTTTGCATGGGCTCCATAAACATACTGTAGTTACTATCACTGTCATATAATATAAAGTTGCATTCACTTTCATAATAGACATGTTGCAATGACCTGTAGTCAGGTACATTGTTACCATTCTGGATATTTAACAATTATAGAAAACTTTGAAAATACATTTAATATAGTTAATGAAAACAAATAGATTTTTGAAATATAGGGTGGTCCAAATGTCTCCATACACAGGGGAAATATACACATTTTATCAAAGTGTAACTCTATTCGCAAACTATGCTTTACATGATTGCCATTACCTTGAAAATGCATGCAAATGCGACTCTCTCAATCGTGATAAACTAGTGTTACGCATGAAAATGCACTTAAAATGTGTTCCATTAGGAGATTAATATTTCATATTTTTTCCTGGTTCTCCATATCTTTGAGATCTGGGAACCTTAAAGGCCACTCCACGGGCTCCTGGCAACCGTTCTAGGAACCTGAAAACTGTTGATCCAACCGATGTATGATGACCTTTGGACCTCGCTATATTTACAAACATTTAAACTCTTGGGTACTTATTTTACTACTATTTATTTCAGCTACCACATACCAGTTACAATTGACAGTATGGTATCAGCTGCACTAGGTATCTTCAGTGCTGCCACAGGCTTCATTCCAAAGTTTAGAGTGCGTGGAGGAACTACTAGAGAAAATGTTGCTCTGCAGAATGTTCAAGCAAGGCTTCGTATGGTACTTGCTTACCTCTTTGCTCAGGTAAGTTAATTGGTATAATTTATCTAACTCATTTTCTCTTTATCCTGTCTGTCTACTTTTGTCACCATCAGTATTCTTATTTCCGAGATAAGTAATGTCCCGGTTACCCTAGGACATGACCAAATAATAATCCTTGATGCAGCTGGGGTCTTACATAAATGCCTCAATGGAAAATTAATGTGAAAGAGACACTGGTGACATTTCTACCAAGCCCAAAATGCCCTCCTCCAAAAGGTTTATTCATCTAAACTCAAAAATCTTTTTAAACCAATACTCGGTGGCAAAGGTGATGTTGATGGTAATGATTATTATGTTGAAAAAATTGGCTATATGTTCGGTAAATAATTTTTTGTCAAATGTTGTTTAATTGTGCAAAAATCTGAAGCAGCTACTCAATATAGATCTTACGACAAAATAAAAAAAATTATTTTTAAATTCAAGTTTAAGCCTGGGATTCTTTTTCAGTTGATGCTCTGGGTTCGGGGAAAACAAGGTGGCCTTCTGGTTCTAGGATCTGCAAATGTAGATGAAGCTCTGCGGGGCTATATGACAAAATATGACTGCAGTTCTGCAGATATTAATCCTATTGGAGGCTTTTCCAAAGCTGACCTTAAGAGATTTCTTCATTTGGCCAAAAACAGGCAAGTCGATGTACCAGCAGTTGATGTGAAAATGTCTTGTCATAACTTGTTGTTGATCTATTGTGAAGCAAGTTTTATAAAGCATTTTACATTTTGTTTTTAATATTATCTTTTAACATTTGTAAACATTGCTAAATGGGTACTTCATATAAGGCAAATTGAATCATTATGATAAATATGTAAATTTGAATGCACTGTACTTGTTTATTGTACTATCATGTAAACAAAACCGTTCCCATCTGTTGGCAGTGAGAAACAAGAATGTCTTGAAAAATGAGGTAGTCTTAAAAAGGGTAAGTGGAGAAGTGGAAGAGAAATACCGTACAGGATATATAACTGGTAGAACAGTTATAATTGAATAACCAATTTGTAGGTGGAGAACATGTAGCAGATTTCCAAGTGAGCACTGCAATCTATCAGATTATTGCAATTGATAAAAAGAGAGCATCACTAAGTTGGGGTGCAGTGTATATGAGGAGACAAAATCAAATTATTAGCATAGTGCTTGTCACTGGTGGGCAGAGAGAGTTTCTGGAGCCCAACACATTAATTTGGTTCTGCAGTGTCAGTGCAGTTAACAGAGGAGAAACTACTGAGGTCCATTGTGATGATGTCGACACAATCTGTTGAGCTCCCCTGCCCCCATTTTCAGTTTCCCGGTGGAAGGCTGTAAGCTTATTGATACCTGTGTAGTTTTCCCTCTTACTAATCACATTTTACTTCTAAGAAGTGATGTGTGTGGTATCTTGGTCGACAGGAATCAGTTCACCCAGGGCAGTCCTGAACTCAAGACGTGTTCCAGTGGGAACAAGTGGCCGAGTTGGTGTAGACAGTGATTTGTCTGTGATACTTAAGGAAGTATTGATGATTAGACCGACGTATTCCAGGATGGCCAAGTTGAATTATGAGATGGAAGTACTGGCTGCCTGTTAAGGGTTGTTATAATTGAAGCCTGTATGGAAGTCTGCCAGTGTGTTGCTGGAGACTCTTGCCAGTGTGTTGCTGGAGAGTAGATGGGGTGTTTTGGCACTGTTACGATACTGTGTAGAACTGTGCTGTGATTTACTGCGAAAGGTGAACTTGCCTGCATGAGGACCATAGAAGACAGACTCAGGAAGGGAACCTTGAGTGGTGTACAATAGAAGATATAAGTGGACTAACTGGGAAAAGAAGATTGCATGAGTTTTATAGTGTCCAGTGCAAAAGTGACACCTGCAATGTTATGTCATGTACATATGTATATACAGTACATAGTTAAGAAGTACACTTGGTGATGATTCTGTTTAGTGTTGCTTACCCCCCCCATCCCATTTTCTTTAAATTGATTATCACTGCCAATTCTTAATAACTTACCTATGACTGGGTGGGATCAAATAAGAAGAGGCACCAAGTTTGATAAGTAAAGAACCCGGTTACTGGCTAAGTGAGGCCATAACATAGTCAGGCGTTTCAATTTGTTCAGTGATGTACAGTATTTGTTTTGACACTGAAGATGTGTATAGGTATTGTATTTGCTGAAATAATATACATACCATATACAGTACTGTAGTTATTTTTCGTGGCATAAATTTGTTAATAGCTCCTTTAATTTAATTCATTGAAATGTTAAATTACTGTACTTTAAAACAAAATTTTGAATCAAGACAGTTACGTATGACAAGTGTATAACAGAGAAGCTCGTAATACATTATTTTTATTTTACACGTAATTCATTTATGTTTCAATATCTTGTATATATTTTTGCAGATTCAATCTTACTGTGTTGGGGGATATTTTGGGTGCCAAACCCACAGCAGAATTAGAACCACTGAATGAAGGAGTTCTGGTACAAACAGATGAAGAAGATATGGGAATGACATATGATGAATTGTCTATGTATGGAAAATTACGCAAAGTAGAATGTTGTGGCCCTTTCTCTATGTTTGGGAAGCTTGTTCATCTATGGTCCGATAAGTGTGCACCAAAAGAGGTTTGTCAAATAAGTCTTCTCCTCATTCGTTTAATTTAAAATTCATTTAAATATATATTGTTAACTATAAAGTGTATTTGTTAGTTTTTCATATGGAAATGTTGTTAATCGATGTTGTGTGCTTTTATATGAAGTTTTTGTGATATGCTGTGTTCTATGTTTATAATATAGAATAATTTCTTTTATCTGAAATTTTAAATAGAGTACAGTATTGTTGAGATAAATTAAATTCATATTTAATCCAGGAAATTCTCCATGGGATATCATCGCAGTAGATAAGTAAATATTTTGGTAGGTCATAGTATAGTGGCGAAAGAATGTGCTTTTAATCCTAACCTATGCAATATCCAAATACTGAAACAGTAACTCTGATAAATACAATTTTTGAGTCCCAGAATTTGCAGATAAGATATAATTGCAGATATTGTAATTGTAAAATACAGTGCTATATTTGGCAAAATGTTTGACAATGTATAATGATTCTTAACTGACATGTTCCTAGTTAGATGTGACATGATATAAATTTCACACTAACATAGCAATAATGGAGGGAAAGCCAGTACACTAACTCGTAAAGTTTACCTGATATATGCTGTGTATCAATATCAACCGACTTTATAATCCTACTACAATACAAGTTTAATATTATATCTTGCAGGTTGCAGATAAGGTCAAGCTTTTCTTCCGCTACTATAGCATTAATCGTCACAAGATGACTGTGTTGACCCCAGCATACCATGCTGAGACTTATTCCCCTGATGATCATCGCTTTGACCATCGGCAATTCCTGTACAATCATCGCTGGCTATGGCAGTTCAGAGCTATAGATAAAGCAGTGAGTTTAGGTTTCGTATATTGTACTGTGTAATACAGTAACTTTATGGTTATGGTTAATGTTTTAGTTTTTAAAAGATTGAAATCATTCTTATATTTTTTCTAAAGTTGGCTATTTTTGTACATCACATGTACTGTATGGTCCAGTTTAAAGTTCTGTTTATACTCACTAATCTGAATTATATGGGGCTCACCTCCATTCAAATTAACCAAATTTTTACCTGGGAAGTCAATAACGAAGAAATTCTAATTTAGTTCACAGAAATCTCGGCAATCCGAATTATTATTATTATGAGTTCAGAAGTCAAAAGCTCAAACTCTTAATTTATTCAGATTACCCAAATATTTGGGTTAAAAAAAATGTAGGTACAATAATAGTGTAGTGAAATATTCACAGTACTAGTCGTATATCATTTTGTATCAAATACTAAAGTGTTTTGAAGAATTATGTATGTTTATATCTAAAAGTTATTACTATATGCCACTCCTAGGTGGGAAACAGCTCTGGCTAGACTGCATGATTGGTCACATGTACTTAAACTCATGGGCATTTAATGGAGACGAAGTAAATGGGCATTTACTTTGTCTCCGTATTGTTTATTTTTTTATGCTGTACTGTATTTCGTTAACAGATTTTTTCCTAACAAATAATGTTAGTCATGAGAAACAGCATCATAATTTTTTGGTGAATTGCTTTTCAGGTTGAAAAACTCGAAAATGGGAAAAGTAATGAAAGCGAAGTTGAGCGAAGTAGCTCTACACGTTCCAACAAGGACAGTCGATCATCATCATTTACAAGGCCTTCTTCCCGCTCATCCAACAACTCACTCTCTGGTTCTCTAGGTTAGATACAGTTAATCACCGAATCAACTGTTCTGCACTTTAAGTTGTGATATACAGTAGATTATGGAGAAACACAGGGACACGGGTAATGCTTTCTAATTTTGGTAGTTTTGTATAGAAAATTATTTCGGGTTTGAGACCGTAATAATTCTTGTAATCTTTGTTTTCATAACTTCTAGGATGCATGCAATATCCTGATGTATGAAATTTTTATAAAGTTATATCATGGTCACATGGGGACAAAATTAAATACAATAATCAGTAGGCCTTCTTTATCATTAAAAAACTTTATAACTTGTAGGTAGTGAGTCACACCGACGAGGTGTAGAAGTAGCAACTGGGCCTGTCATTGAAAAATCACATAGTGTACACATCTGCTCTGCTGAGAATACAATTGACACCATTCACATGATCACACCACAACACAGTGACCAGACTGTGAATGATCATGACAGTTTAACATCTCATCACGGGTCTTCTGGAGAAGAAGAAGGCAGAAAACGTCGTGGATCAGCATCCATCTTCATTTCAACCTCCGAACACAGTGCACAAAAAGCCAGTCGGTGTGGGGATCTTGAATTGGCTTCTTTTCAACAACATACAACTACCGTATATCTGTAATGACATTTGCACAAATTTGCAGCATAAACAGTTGAATGAAAAACTGACTACTGTACTGCTTGATATCTAGAACTTGGAACTGTTTAAAGTTTTAAAATATATGAGATTTTATGAATAAAATGCCAAATTTTCACATTCTTTTCAGCTGTAAAAATTAGAACCACATTTCAAAATCATGTAAAATCTATTTTGTTATAGATGTCATCTAGTGCTTGAAAGTGAATGAAATTTATTTCCCTGCTCAAATAATCAAACAATAACCATTAACCTAGTCAGATCTCAGTATGATTTGTGTATACTATTTTTCCCCATTTAGTGCACTACTTTTTCTTCTGATTGGCATGATAATAGAGGTCTTGTAAGTTCCATTTCTATGCTTAATGTATGCTTTTTTGGAGGAAAAGAACTATTTAATTAATGATTTAAAAACTGGTAAACTAACATTTATATATGTTTGTACATTATATGCATCCTTATATTAACTTTATGTTCAGGCAGGTTGCAAGTTTGAGTGCTTGGAAGGACGCAGTAATAAAATAAGAATACCAACACAATAATTCAGTATTCATATTGAAGCAATATTGGATGAAGCCTTTCAGAGTAATAGTAACGACTTACATAACTGTGTGCACAGCTTAGCACATTAGGAATGATAGCGCTCATGAGAGAGATGCAGTAATATACATGCATACATAAATACATACAGTGAGTGTTCACATCTTTTACATGTGCACAGCTCAAACTTTGATAGCTTTAAATATTGTAATGGGTATAAAATGCCACACGCCAGTAAATAATGGTTACTGTTGTTTTGTATAGTTTACGTATTCAGTAGATAAATATGAATTATTGTTCCCAGCTAAAATAAAATTACTAATTTGATAATTATTACTGTGCTTGCATCATGGTGGAATATAGCTCATTCAGGTAAAAACTAATTTGTTGCAACGGAGTTTGTGGTGAGAAGTGTTTCTCAGGGTAATTGCGGCCATTAATGTTTGTTAATTTACATTTCTCTGGCACTTTTGATGGTGCTACATAGCCTTCCCGGCTTGGTGCCTTCTTTCTATTATTACTTGCTTATATTTCTCTGCTTAATAGGAAGGGTAGGATTTATGTAATTTAGTTTCTCATTTGAGAAAGTTGTGACAAAAGTGTTTGTGAGAGATTTGTGTAGTCTGCAAGTGCGCTCTCAAGAGGATGGATGACAAAATGTATAGGAATGGTCTCTTCAAGTTTTAGTTTTTATGGTACTTAGTTAAAAATCTATTATGTGAAAAGCTTTTATAGAGGAGAGCTGAATCAAATTTAATTACGTTATCAAATAATGACAGATTCACAAGTACAGTAATGCATTTGGAAACACATCAGTGTAAATTACTTGGAATTAGAATTACTGAAGATCTGTGTATATTTAGTATCTTTACTTAAGAATACCCTATCTATGAAAATTATGAAGTTGAAGCTTCCACAATCAGGTAATGGCTGCATTGAATGTTACTCAGTAGGGTCATGCCTTATTTCTTTTAACTATTCCATTAAGAGAAGTTGTCATGATTGACCATACCTTAAATCCTGTGGTCCATTACCTTTAACTTTTCTCAATAGAATTCTTGGTGACTCGGATACTTTTGATATCGTTCGCCTTATGCGTTTTTGTTCTCATATTGGCATCCTTGGTGATATTTAGCGCCCTCTGATTATTCCGCACATTTGATGGTGCTACATAGCCTTTCCGGTTTGGTGCCTTCTTTTGATAATTACTTACTTACCTTTAACTTTTGTTACAAACATTTTCATTGTTTTCTCTGTTATATTTTTATTGCTTATTAAATCATGTCTTACAATTTAAATAGTTTTAGGAGCCTGTTGAATATTAATTGTTATTTTTTTAATACTTATAACATTGAAATACCCAGTATTTTGTGTTTGATCTGGTGCATCTGCTGATTATGTTAATATATTGTCTTCACTGATGTATTGCCTGGGATGTATCCTCCTTGTAGATATGGTTGTAAAAGATGGTAGCAAAAATAAAAATATAAAATTAAAGGCAGCCAGATAGAAAAAAAAGAAAGGTCATACTGGGGTAAGTACTTTTGATGCAAATGTACCATGATAAAATGATAAAACATGGAAAATGATTAATGGCTTAAATGTATATGTATGATATTTGAATAAACTTGAAATCAGGCTACTATTTGAAAAAAAAAAAAACGATTACTAATTCTAAGCAAATACATACAACCTGTATAACGATAATATTAAAGTAGAGACTCGACTCACTAAATTGCAAAAAGTTTGAAAGGCATTGCTTAGTGCCGACACTATCTTACAAGCACATCAAGGCGAGTGCAATTTTTTTAATTCTATTTTGTAAACTTAATTTATTCCATCCATCTAAAACTAAATAAGCGTTTAGTGTATGCCAAAAATCATTGAGTTCTTCAAAACTTCATATGACAAAGATTATAGGGAGGATAGGACACAACTAGCAGTAGTCTCTGACAGCCGAGTGGATAGTCCTTGTGATTCTTAGTCCTGAAGTTCTGGGCTCGATCCCCGGTGGAGGTGGAAACAAATGGGCAGACTTTCTTTCACCCTGATGTGCCTGTTCACCTAGCAGTAAATAGGTACCTGGTAGACAGCTGCTACGGGCTGCTTCCTGGGGTGGGGGTGTAACAAAAAGGAGGCTTGGTCGAGGACCGGGCCGTGGGGATGCTAAGCCTCGAAATCATCTCGAGATAACCTCATCCTGTAACTGAATGTAGATGATTAGGTACACCCGCATTTGCATTCTCACTGTAACATCAAATAGAATGTTAAAAATGTTGAGCTTCATAAAGTTTGATGTCGTCTTGAGAGATTAAAACACCAGGGTCATACAATTGTAACTTGATCACTGTAACATAATATATATTGTTGACTCTTGTTGTGTGTATTAATACCCTGGAGAGGACACTAGTAGACAACCCAAGCGCAACTCCATAGTCTTACGAGACTGCTGGATGCCTACTAATACCCTGTGCATATGTAGACCAATATTCACTACAACTTCACTTAAGTTAGTAACTGTGCTGAACTCATACCATTAAGTTATAAAAGATCTGTAAGTTGGTGTACATAAGTAAGACTTACACTATCCTGTGGAATTAACTGGTTATCAGTGTAGTTTTCCTGTCTTTTATAAAGAATATATATTCCAGAGTAGCCAAGACTGAATATTCAAGTAATCATTCAGTTAACTACAGTATAGATGCTTGGGAGTTACCACACATCTTCAACCTCAAGAATGTAGTACTCGGTGTGTATAGTTCCAACTGACCCCAAGACGGTATAGCTTCGACACAGAGCAAACAGCAGACTACGTCTGCATCGAGCTACTACGCTCTCCTTCCTCGTCGAGTTTAGACACTCGCCATTCCGCAACGAGCCGCCACGCTCTCCGGCATAGAGCTCCACAACTCTGGCCTCACTCGGCTCTTTGCTCTGCTCCAAGCTGTCTCAACGTCTATGTTAGTACCAACAACCGACTGCTGTAACCAAGACTAAATAAATATGAAACCTACTAAACACTGTGTACCTAATCTACCCAACAACGTAACATAAACATATGCTACAACGTGCTTGCTTACTCTTATGTAAAGTGTAAATAAAGGCATCTTTAGAATAAACCTTATCATATTTTTTCTTAAAGTTGTGGATGGAATTTGCCTCAACAACCTTTTCCTTCACTGCATTCCATTTACTGACTAATGATACAGGGAACAAGAACTTACTTACATCTCTGTGATTCTATTGCATGTCCAGATTTCACTGATGTTGCCTTGTCCTACTTCCTTTGGAATGAAAAAGGTTTCCTTTGTCCACTTTGTCTACTCCCTTCAGGATCTTGTATGTAATGAACATATCCCTTCTATGTTCATTCTCTCCTATCAGGTTGTAAGGGTGAAACCCTCAACCTGTCCTCATAGCTGAGCCCTCTCAGTTCTGGTATTAATCTAGTTGCAAACCTCTTAAAATTCTCAAACTTCTGTTTGTGCTCTACAAACTAAAGGGCATGTGGTGTTTGACAGTGTGGGACCAAACCGTGAGCAGACAAATGGAAATGCAATTTTAACATGAAGTAGAAAGATAAGGAAGGAATTTCTTTAATGTGAGGAATTTACATGTATTGATTATTATGGTCGTTGTTCACCGTGTGAGCCGGCACTGCTAGGACACAAACGACCTTTAATGTCAGACCCTGCAGGGTAGTACCTCCAGCGTTACTACTACAAATTTGAGGGTAGACAGTATCCTAATTTGGCAATTGACAGTTAACCGAGTCCCAGCGGTGTCTATAGGATACAAGTGACAGGATGAATAACCCATATGATATGGGTTATTCAGATTTGCCAGCTACTTTATCTGTGACAAAGTAGCTGGCACATCTGCTCTACTGTACCATAGAGTACAATTGTCAAGCTAAACGTCAAGAAGCAACTTTGGCTAGACTCTTTGACTTTGTTACATGCTGTTGTTGTTGTTATAGATTCGGCTACTGGGAACAAAAAGTTCCAAGTAGCACGGGCTATGGTGAGCCCGTAGTAGGCTTCCCTGGCACAGGAGCGGGGCTGTAACAAGTTACAGCCCCGCTCCTGAGGGTTGTTACATGCATTATTTAGAATATATATAGATGTTACCTCACCACTGCCGACACAGCTCGCTTTTGATATTTATTAGACATTGCAAATATTGCACTACAGTGCATAGATAGTGACTTATTAAGTCACTAATAGTATGATAGTATTAAGTTTTAGTTTTAGTGTTTTTCCTGCCCGAAACGCTTTGCGTAATAGTGGCTTTAGGCATTGTATGTACTAGCTCTGTTTATAACTCTATCAACTTTTGTATTTCACCTTGTATGTATGTACTTTACCTGAATAAATATTTGTATTTGTATTTTGTACTTGCCTCAACCTAGCATATTAAATATTATCACCCTTCAAAAGGTCCGGTATAACTCGCACAAGGGGCAACAGTTTTAAGCTCAACAAGCCACATTGCAGGACAGAGAACATAACCATAATTATTATTAATAAGAATGTGCATACAAAGAGCACAAGGGTACACTTGCAGGTACAGGTGTAGCATATAAAATGAGGCCACAAAGTGTTTCGGGCAAAACTTACAGTAATTCAGATAACAAATAATTTTATATGTACAATGGGATAAACAATATTAATACTAATCATGTATAAACAAGTGTTAGTAAGCTAACAAACAACATAGATAAGATGTTTATTCAGATAAAGGTACATACATTGAAAAATGAGTTACAAACATAATGTTGGATTACTAGATAGAACTAGTACATACTATGTCCTACTAGTGTACATACTACACTATATATATGTAGTATGCGGCTCGGGCAAACACTGATATGAGAGATATTCAAGCAATATATAACAATGATAATACATAAAGATATGCCTTAACCCTATTAGGGTAATAAACCCATTGAATCTCATCCTCCGAAATGGTAAATTCTAATACAATTCATCATTTTAAAATTCCGCTGGAAAAGTCATGGAAGCATTAATTGACGCCGCGATAATTTAGTGTTCGTCATTGTATAGGTGATGGTTCACAAACAGGCTCTCCTGATTTTAACGGCATACAGTTATTATTATTCTTGTTAATGACTAATGAAATTAAGTAATTGGTGGTAATAACAATATTATATGCAATAATTGGCAAAGCAAGTTGGTATTCACATATAAATAAATAATAATGAGTAGGCTCGTCTCCTGTGCCTCATTAATTATTTACACTGAATATATCGATTTATGCAAAGATAGTATGGCACAAATATACACTGTATTCTATAAGATGATATATATATATATATATTTTTGGTATATTTAGTACAATAATACTTGTACACATAGAGGTAGTGAATAGTAAACATTTAGTGGGTGGAAATAACTGAGGTTCGGGTCAGCCTTTTGGAGTTCCAACCATGGAGAAGCTGCGGAAATATTTTAACCAAATTCGCATTCCCAAAGGTGGGGACAGAGTGTACAAGGATGAGTGCATGTTCAACTTCGACACACCGGTGAGTGTTGGCCATCAAGCGTGGAGTAGAGGTGACAATAAAGGGTAGAGAAGGAGAGTAGTGAGAGGGAGGCTGGGAGCAGGTCTCCAGCGACCTCACCTCCTCCAGGGATCACATTCTGGCCACCAGTTATATCAATGAATTACTCTATTATAATACACTTCACCAGCTTGAATTGAAGCAAAAATTACCCCTGGTAATTGTGTCAGAACATAGTAGAGGAGGGAGTCAATATCACCCCCCCCCCATCAGGAGACATTGTTTACGTGGTCACTTGAGGCCATTGTAGTGTTATTTATTGATTTATTTATATATACAAGATCCTTTGGCTTTGTGGGAATATGTAACATTGATGTTTTTACATTTTTTTTGTAAAGCCACTAACACGCATAGCGTTTTGGGCAGGTCCTTATTAATCATCTAACATAATTACAAGTAGGTAATTACCGTCTACCTTATTTGTTGGTAAGTTATGTAAGATAATTATAAGTAGGTAATTTTATTGCTATTTGGAGAGTTTGTTGACATTGTGGCAGTCACCGTAATACATCTGGGGTATATTATAATAGAGGAAAGGGCAAAAACTGACATTTTGGAAAATGAATGAAAATAGTTGCATGTAAAGAGATGTGTTCATCAACCGTATCCAAATAATGTAGTGACCAATGTAGAATGTAATGTAGAATACATTGGACCTGTGTCCAATGTATTCACAATCCTTGGGTTGGACTTGGGTTGTATAGCTTCTTAATTTACCCTAATGATGATAGTTGTACACTTCACAACTATCATATCAGCAACACAACTATGGCCACCTTGGGCTGGTTCTGGGGATCAGTGATCTGGTTCTTTGTATCTAAGCGACATGTTACATAATTGTTGTTGTATTCATATCAGATGCACATATAAAGTGCATCTAGAATGTATGTACTGCAGTATATAAGTACTGTATATTAAAGTATATAGTCTGTAATGTATATTTATGGTATTGTGTGGTATTGGCAGGTTACCACCTTGTATTATATACTATATTTTATTGCATTATTTACATTTTGAGTTGAAATGTCTAATACAAAATATTTCTCAACAGGATAGTGAGACTGGGTTATATGTATGTTTGAACACCTTTCTTGGGTGGAGCAAAGAACATGTTGTACGATATTCACACCAGTCGAGGAACCATGTCTTCTTGCATCTTAAGCGGAGTAAAAAGGAGGTATGACTTGTTCTATTAGTCCTTTTAAAAAAATTAATGAAATTGTCACTAATGTACTTTGATCTACTTTATAATGATTACACTAAACATATTTTTCAGTTTCATGCATTAGGTAAATGCTGGTTTGGTTTGCCCTATACCCTTCCATTATATTTTGCTCTCTGTAGGTCATAGTTTTGAGCAAAAAGTTAGTTGATCTATTTTGTATTTTTATAGTCCTTGGCCTAGGCTACAATTGAGACACGTGGAGGCCACTATAGATTATAGAACTTGAGCAGCATGCAAAATTATATTTTGCATTTATGGGTAAATGGTGACACTTGTGTGTATTAATTCATAATAGATTTCCTCCTCTATATAGTTCCTTCCCCATCTCCTTTGTAACTTGGTAATGAAACTATTCTGCAAATGTTTTGAATTACAAATATAAAGTATTCAATATTATATTAATTTCACATTGATGAATGTTTCATTTTGCCAATAGCATCCATAAGTTTGGTCCTTTAATAGACAAACACTATAATTGTAGCCAATTGTAGTTCTTGTGATGTAACTACTTTGAAAAAATTTAAGTACTGTACCATACTGTATTTGAATGAGCTTGAAGAGGTCATTTCCTGCTGGATCGAGTCCTGAATTTCCCAGTGCTTGTTTTACACAGGTATAAGCTTACACGTTTGATAAGAGGCATTTTGCTCTGGTGCGGAATATTGCCGTGTTCTGAATCCTTAATTCTGTCCATGGGACCAGCAAGACCTTGCATGAGTGTGTCCTAAAACAATAATTTTAAATTTACAATAAGATAATTTTTAATTGTACTTAAATTTGGTGCATATTATTTATAATTTCTTATCAAAGTTTACTACCCTTGCAGTTGTAGTGAGTTAAGCAAATGTAGGAAGTATAGCCATACAAAACTGATAATGGTTACTTCATATTTTCAAACAATTATATATACTGTATAAGAATATTGAGGAGTTCAAAGGGTCTTGAGTGAATGGTTACTGAACATGTTGGTATAATTCAGTAATTTAGACATGCATTTTTTTCATGTTTCAGTAAATGTTGTTTATTTTACAAATTATAATTTTCTAGCTTCCTCCCGAGAAGGAAATGGAGCCTGAGAAAAAGATTGCACGACTTGCAATTGGTGTAGAAGGTGGTTTCAACCCAGATGCTAACAAGAAGAAATATGAATATAAGGAACATAACTCGGTGGTGATCCTACCAGACTTTGATGTCATTCCACTACCTAATGCAGACCTCCCAGAAATTGTAAGTTTCCTTTGTGTGACACACAAGCATTATTCAGGAATTAAATTTAAGTACAAATTTGTCAAAATTTGGTTTGAGCAGATGGTAAGTATTGGAGTGAAGTAGCAGAAGTGTAGTAATGTACTGTACAGCAAGGCTGTTGAAAAGGAACAGTTAACAGGAGGGTTGATGTGAAAGTGGTTTGAAAACATGCTTGGAATGAAGGAATTGATAGATTGTAGGTTGAATGGTGAAGATATCACATTGGACTCTTGATTGTCTGGAGTTCTTAACTGGGATTGAACCCACTTTAATTTATTTAGACCTTTGGATAACCAGAATTTTTGTTTTCTCAAAACAGTATTAAGATGACAATATTAGTATTAGCGATGTATAATTATAAGCAATAATAAAAAATAGATTTTGGTATGAAAGTATGTTATAGATTAGGTGCAGTGGTTTAATTGAACCAGTTGGCTCGCTTCAGGTGCCATTATTTTTTGGTGGCAAATAAGGTATCTATGGATGGTTGTATTTGAGACGAACTTTTACCAAGATTTGGATTTACTGTACATAAAACAACTGTTTTGAATGCCACTATATAATTTAATGTATTCATAAAATGTAATGCTTGCCGATTATCGGTTATGTATAACATACGAATTTGATATACAGGAGTATACAGCACTGGTATGTGCAACTTGCTCTATGTACAGTGTGCAGTAAAGTTAAATTTTTATTTTATCAAGTTAAAGTTTTGCATCAACTTTTTTATTATAGCTTTTTGGCACCGAAGACTGCACCTACTAGTTTTAGGTAGTGGGTACCTAAAGATCCTGATACTACAGCAGTCACAAATGTCTAGCGTACTGTCATACATAATATAATGCAATATAAGATTTCTGCTTTGGGTAACAATACTCTACTGTGTATTTCTGCCCAACAGGTGCAGCAAAGTGTGGCAGGCATTTTGAAAGCAGAGTCAGCTCTTCACTTAGCTGAAGTTGAGGCAGCAGCTGGTGCTTGGGATGGGGAAGTACGGCAGATCACCAAACATGCGGATACACTTAAGCAGCTTGATAATGGTGTCAAGGTACACTTCATTTGTTGTGGGGTTATCTGAGTGCATGGTTAATTGTGCACTTCTAGTGTGTGCACCTTTCCATTTCCCTGATAGTGAACCAGAAATGAAGAAATGGCATTATCCTTAACACAAATTACAGTTCTGTGTTTTAATAATTACTGTGTATTTTAAATTTTTTAATCGGAATTTATTTTATGTTTTGGCTGCCTATTTATTTCTTTGGTTTAATGAGCTCTTCTGCAACTGTTTCTAGTAAATAAAAAAAAATTGTGTTTGGCTTCCTAGGATAGAATGGAGACTGGTCTCACAGGTAATCCATAATTATCTTGTCAAAGTGTAAATAAAATTGTATCCTGAATTCTTAAGTTTGTTATAACCAGGAAGACTTCTTTTGGAGCAGGGATATAGGCCTTGCATGAGGTACTCTAAACAGTTTGGTTTGCCTTATTATATGTATAGTATTGATAAGTAAAGTACCGAGTGTCCCTTTTTTTTCCAATCCCGGGGTTTCAGCCATCTTTGTCTAATTATTAGGTTCTACCTAATGGCTGGAAGTGTGAGGAGTGTGACAAAACTGAAAATCTCTGGCTAAACCTTACTGATGGAAAAATTCTCTGTGGGCGAAGACAGTTGGATGGTTCAGGCGGCAACAACCATGCTCTTGAACACTATGAAAAGACAAGTGAGTTTTACATGTAATAAATTAGTGTAAAATATTTGTCTTTAGAGTATAAATTCTTTTTAGTATTTAAACCTAGGCAAGAAGCTCTTATTTTATTGTTCAGAAAATTTGTAGACTGCTATGTTACTTTTATTATCACTTCAAACCAGGTCCTTTGGCACTGTTGCTTTTCTGAATGTCTCCAGTTTATATTGTGTGAAATTCTGATTCAATACATTAGTTCATTTGTCCTTGTAGTATGTCATGCCCAAGAAAATTGTCACAATTCTGTAAATGGAAAAAAATGCACAGCAAACCCACAAATTAAGATTCTTATAAAGGACATTTTTGTTTGTCCTTTGCCCAACCACTTGGGCTGGATGGTAGCGCGATGGTCTCGCGTCATGCAGGCCGGCGTTCAATCCCCGACCGTCCAAGTGGTTGGGCACCATTCCTTCCCGCCCCATCCCAAATCCTTATCCTGACCCCTTCCAAGTGCTATATAGTTGTAATGGCTTGGTGCTTTCCCCTGATAGTTCCCTTCCCTTGACCAGTATCATGCATCTATATTATGATGCACTGATGAGGGGGGGGGGGACCAACATGTATTTTAATTTGTGAGTTTAGTGTGAAAGTCATTCCCAAGTATTTTAACCCCGTCTGCATATACGTATGTCTAAAACATAGTGTTCTTTCTCGTTTCTATATTCCATTTTTGTTCTAATAATTTATTCATGAGGTCAACTGTACTTACTATTATTTAATCTTACTCTTCCATTAAGTATGTTGTTTCATTCTCTGTAAATCTATATACAGCATTACCCACCCTTTCAGAGTACCCGCTTTCTGTGAAGCTTGGAACCATTACACAGGATGGAAATGCAGATGTATATAGTTATGATGAAGATGACATGGTTCTAGACCCTGATCTTTTGAAGCATTTGGCAGTGAGTAATTTTTATAATTTCATAGTTTTGCGATCCAACATATATAGAACTAGGCACTATTGTACATTAAAGTACACAGTTTCTCATGCTATTATTGTGAAAGGATGTAACATCTTGCAACAGTTTTCTTTACTATTTTGGGTGTTAACACTTTAAAAGTGTGCTGTACAGTGGATTTTTTGCTCCTTAAGAGGATAATGACTGAAGAGTTATAAATATCTTTCTATAGAGTAAAAATGCTGTAGTTACTAAGACATATTTGTCTCCTTTCAGCATTTTGGTATTAATGTTAAAGTGATGGAGAAAACTGAGAAAACGATGCTCGAGTTGGAGATTGATTATAACCAACGTGCCTGGGAATGGTCGCGGCTTACTGAATCGGGAGCAAAGCTTGTACCAAAGTTTGGACCCGGTTTCACAGGTAATGATTTAATTATGTTAATATTATTTATTATATGTACAATGGTATAGTGGAAGTAACATGGTCATGAAAGCTAGGCAAATGAAGTGTTATTCATAATTTGATGAGACATCTAGTTCAAAGACGAGACATCAAAAGTGACTACAGTACTTGCATTCATTAAAGATTTGCTTAAGGTGTGGGATTGGGCGTGGTTCCATGGTGCAGGTTTCAATCCTCCGCATGGCTCCATTTTATTTTCTCACCCGCATCACATCAATGTGATTTCTTTGTGCATTTTCAGTCTAATTATTGATTTTTTATATCAGAATCCCAGTATCATAGTTGCCAATTTGTACATTATACATTGATTTTTTAACAAGATTCTTGATAATCATAATTCCTAGAGCTCTTTGACGTTTATATGGTTGTCCCGCACTGGGGACCCTACAGAGATGCTTCACAGAGTATAGAAGTGACCAAGGATGTTATAGCCTTGACACTTCTTGGTTATATGTTAAATTCCCAATGTAGATGTATTTTTTACTTCATGGAGAATTTGCAAATCCATCTCTTTTATGACACTATGTGCTAGTATGCAGTATCTTCTGCATGTTAAGCCTTGAACTGATGTAACATTTATTCGGGGTCAAAGACCTCGCCATTAGAGTCAGAGAAATTAACATACTTGCTAGCATGATCATCCTAATCCAGTTTAAGGTAACCCCTCTAATTTAATGTATATATGCCTTCCTAGTCAGTCTTTTGTATAGTATCAAAGGCTTTCAATTTCAAGGTATATTTCACAATCTCTTTTCATTGTCAGCTGCTTCAAATATGCTGGAAAAGAGTGAAAGTAAATTTGTTTACATGAAGATGTGTACTTGTGATGAGGGGAATTTCCCCACCTAAGTTATGTTTTGCTAAGGGGAAATGATGCATGCAAGTCTAATCATATGTCTAATCATATGTAGTGATCTTAATATGAACTCAAAGCTTGATTGTGACTTTTACCTGAGTATTGTTAATTGTAAGGTCTGTTAGCCTAGCAAGAAGATTTGGTAGTTATTTTTCAAGTAACCTATTTATATGGTCTCCTGAATTCAACATTTATTATTTTTTAAAAATTAATTAATGTGAGAATGGAAAGGTATTATTTTCAGCCAAAAAGTATAATTTTAAAGTGCCGGAAAGCTTTTGAGAGAGTCTTTAAAAATATTGGAAGATTAGTTTTTGTTAGGATATTAGAAATACAGAAGTGTAATTAATAGAAAGGCATATCAATGCCTTTTGTTGAGTTAGAACTAAGACTTTGTGTGGTAACTGTGATGCTTGTTAATGTTTTACCTTTAATACATTTACAGGGATGAAAAATCTTGGTAACTCCTGCTATGTAAACTCTGTAATGCAAGTACTCTTCTCTGTTCCGAGCTTCATTGAGAGATTTTTCAGTCATGGTCAGACCATCAGAGAAAGTTACAAAGGAACAAACCCTGCAGAAGACTTTAATGTTCAAATGGGTAAACTTGCACATGGCTTGCTGTCAGGAAGGTAAGTGCTGCCCCACAAAAGATTTTATCCTACTTTTAGCGTGGAGCATTTGAAAATTTGCTTAGAATTCCATAAAAAATTTAGAACTTTGATAAGGTTGGCAACGCAGCTGGATTTCCAGTTCACTACTTGGGAACATTGTTACTATAGATTAATAGCGTTTTATTGTAATAGTTGATATTTGAGTGAATGAAGATTGGTGAAATTAAAATACTCTACAATGGACCCTTCATATGCAATTTGGATGTATTCATTGAAAGCTTTTATAGCCTTGAAGCTCAGTCCTTTTGATTCTGGCACTAGTTTTGTTGCTAACAGCATGAGGATTTCATGCCAGTGCTGCATATTGCATGCAAGTGGCAAAGTAACAGGGAATACTGGAAGAGATGAAGATAATAAAAGACACAGACAGACAGAAGTAGGGAGGGAGGCATTGAGAAGTCATAAATTCCAGGATTGATAGGTCAGAATGTTGGATGACTGTCCACCAGGAGGCAAGTATGTTACTGGCAACTCCTGAGGAGAACCGTACCTAGTCTTGTGAATGATTTGCTGGAGTGTGGTGGTGTAATGTAATATCTTTTATTGTACTGCTTCCCTTTTCACTCTGGGCTACCCACTCCCAGAAAAGTGGAGAAATGAAATAATGACTATTATAATTAAATATTACCATGTATTTGTGATTTCACGATTTACATAGATTCATATCAAAGGATACTGCACAGAAATTTTGTTTTACATTTTTCAGATACTCGGTAGCTCCTAACACGGTTGATGAGAGCCAAGACACGGACGACTTGCAGCCTGGCTTGTCTCCACTTATGTTCCGCACACTCGTTGGAAAGGGTCATGCTGAATTTTCAACTAAGAAACAGCAAGATGCCATGGAATTTTTGGAACATGTGCTAAAGATGACAGCATGCAACTCTGCTGGAGCATCTGACCCTGGAAACTGCTTCAAGTTTGAGGTTTGCACCAACTTTATTGTTTTACTTGCTCACTGTCATGCTTAACAAACAAACAATTGTCCTTTTATATAAATATATTGGTAGGAATGACTGGATGAATTGTAGACGATAAGCTTTAATAGCACAGTTAAGGTATATGCCAGACTACAGGACCAGAGATGAGCCTTGGCATTTGTCTCATCTTACATATGTTGAACAGGTAGAGGACAAGTTTGTGTGCAGCGCAAGTGGGAAGGTTCGTTATGTAACAAGACCAGACCAGTATCTACCCCTACCGGTACCAGTTGAAGAAGCTGTAAATAAAGAAGAAGTTGCAGCTTACCAAGCACGTAAAGTGGAGGCTCAAGCAGCACAGAAAGCTGTGTAAGTTGTACTTTTGCAGTTTAACTTTCTCACTAATTATACCAGGGTAGTCAAGATATAAATTTTAATTAAATTATATAGTAGACATTGTAAGATAAAAATAAAAATTCATTCAACCTGAGGTATGATTTTGGTTTCAATGTAAATGTATGTTCTATTGTTTTCTCTAATTAAAACACATTAATTATGGCAAAGAATGACTGCTGCGGAAAATCTGATGCATCTTGAGAGTTGGCACCTGTCTTTCTGCTTGAGTGGAAATCCACTTTGCCAGTCTAAAACCTTGGCCACATGAGGTGAAACTTTACTTTAGTAGCATTGTGTTAAGAGGGTTTATCATTAATGAATGTTGAGGAAATTTTAGACTGACTTGGAAACCTTTACCATATTCAGCCAAACACTCAATACAGCAAGGGTTTTTTCTGAAAAAGTTTCCTAATAGTACGGTTTTCCTAAACATTCAATTTGCCGTGTGTTATGGTGAGAAATGTGCAACTGTGTTGTACAGCTTGTGTAATGTGTACATTCATGCACATGCTTTGAATCGCACACTTGTGCATGAATTTACATGTTCACTCTAATTTCAGTATGAAGCAGACCAATCTTGGCTACCAGTGTTTTAAGTAAAATTGAAAATAAAACAAAGCTTAAAATGTGCAAATTTAAAAAGTCTAAAAGCTAGCTTGTGAGGCGTAGTGATGGAAGCTAGTTGACTAATTCCTACCCTCATCCTTCCCACATTCCCAGACAAATTCAGTTTAAATTGTTAAAATTAGTTTTGACTGCATTAGGCATTTATCATTGTAAACTGGAAAGATTTTTGTGTTTTCTGTAATCAAATGACTAAGAAATTTTGTTTTATTACAGACAGCCTGAGGAACAAGTGCGCATAAAAATACCATTTGATGTGTGTCTGTCAAAGTTAGCATCTCCAGAGCAAATAGTTGCATTTAGCTCTGCTGTAGAGAAGGAAGTCAGCATGCAAAAAGTTACTCGCCTTCGTACTTTCCCAGATTTCCTAGTCATTCAGGTTGGTATTATATGTTAAAAACAGTAGACTATATTTAATTCATTGACTGTGGCATTTAACTTGTTGATACACAAAAAATTCACCTTTACTCTTCCAATATTGGTAAATTTAATAAAACACTGCTAATATACTGTGCCAATAATAATTTTGTTTGTCGTGCAATGCCTATTTGTGAATCGTTAAATAATGATCCCCTAGATATTCAAATCATAAGTATGTATCTTTTCAAGAGGGAAGGGAATTATCAGGGGGAAAGTACCAAGCCATTACGACTATATAGCACTTGGAAGGGGTCAGGATAAGGATTTGGGATGGGACGGAGGGGAAAAGGAATGATGCCCAACCACTTGGACGGCCAGGAATTGAACGACAACCTGCATGAAGCGAGACCGTCACTACTGTCCAGCCCAAGAGTGGACTCTATTCAAGAGTGAATGTTTGATTGTCCACAATAGGTAGCCAGTTGCTTAGGACCATGAAGCTTTTGCAGGGTTACTGGAGGCTATTGTTGAATCATTATGTGAAGGGATGGGGGAGATTGACCATTTTCCCCTATTTGCATGAAATAGCAAAATTGTTCCATAGTCTGATTCTTGATAAATACCAGCTTCAATTAAACAAGGATATCTTGAATACAGATTTATTTTTGTTGAATCTACCAAATGAAAGAAGTTCTATAGATAATACACAAAGATTCACCACATGCTGTTTTTGTTAATTAAATTTAGTATTGTAGAGTGGAAAGCATTTTTAAAAGAATATGCATATTTGGTCTGTTTTCTTTCAGCTAGTGAAATTTGGTATTGGTCAAGATTGGGTGCCATTGAAATATGATGTATCCATTGATATGCCTGAGAGCCTGGACTTGTCTGTACTAAGAGGCTATGGTCTTCAGTCAGGGGAGGAAGAACTACCAGAAACATCTGCTCCTCCACCAAAGGGCAAGTTTAACAATGCATTTCTTTCATTAAAATTGTCCTGTTGGCAAAAACATCCCTTAATCTTTTTCTATAATTTGCTACTTTGCTGCCCTTTTGATTTTGATATACTCACTCCTGGCCCTCACAAGTGCCTCTGTATGTGTGTCTGTATCTAGGTCTGTGTAATTTATCCATGCATTTTTGAATCCTGGGTTTGTTCTTGTCTCATCCACTTCCCTCCCAATAGGTATAAACTGTTACATTGCTACTATACATTTGTGTTACTAAGTCAATTGTCTGTTTTGCTGACTTTCTTTCCAGTTCAGTCTCCCACTAAACATCATGCTGGTAGGCACTAACTCGCCTGTAGTCCCCTCTTATGTATTCTCTTGTACTTCTCAAACTGTTTCTTAAACTGACTCGGCTTTCAATTTTTACAATATAATCAAACATAATGCATTGCTCACTGGCTCCTAGTGACTCCTTATATTTTAAATTCTCTGCATCTTCCTTATTTAAGATAAATACCAGATCTATTACTGTACCTGTGTGCTCTCTCTGATATGCTGCTAAAGTGTTTATCTGCTTTGTCCACTAACCTTGCTCTCCATGTTTCATCTCCTTGATAGGACCCTTCGTTGATTAGGCAATTGTTCCAACACTAAAACCCAGAATACTTGGATTCTTGTTTTTGCTCCATTTGCCACAGTGGCTGCTTTTTACAATATTTACATGGCTTCTTGCATGTTTCATTGTAATGATCATGCTACTCCATTGGTATTTCTGTATTTAATAGTGGGCCATAACCCCCTACCAGTTTCATGGTCCCCATTGTTGTACATGTGTGATTTTGCTAGTTGCTTACCTCCGAGGGCCAGAGAATTGACATAAGTTGAGCAAAGGTGGCATTTACAACAGACATTAAGGCCTGGTAACCTAGCTCAAACTGTTGATGGGAGAAGTGGTGTTACAGCAGGATGCAGTAATGTAGGTGACTGTGTGGTTTGTAATGTTCACAATTAGAGAGAGAACATAGATTAAATTAAAAATGTAATAAAATTCTCAATGTATTCAACCTTTTCAGGATTAATTTTGTCAAAGGTAGAGAAGATTACTAGCAAAGCTATCATGTGTATATACTGTATCTGGTTTTGCTAGGTTTTGATTGCATTTAATTTTGTCTTGCCAATTTTTAACACTTTTCACACATGCCCCAGTTCTTTCTTGTACAATTTTTCTCCTATATTATAATTGTTAAATTACCTTTTTACATTTTGTACATTTCTGCATGTTTAAATGTTCTATTTAGCAACACAGCTTTAGTCTAATTTGAAGCACTAGGGTATATACAGTACAGCACTAAAAATTAATAAAATGTAATTGCTTGTTTTATATTTTGAATTTTACTTTTCTAGAACCTGAAATAGATGCTGGAATTGTACAACAGTTGGCAGAGATGGGCTTTCCCTGGGAGGCTTGTAGAAAGGCTGTCCACCTTACTGGTAACAACGGCACTGAAGCTGCAATGAATTGGGTGATGGAACACATGAGCGATCCAGACTTTGCTGAACCACTTGTCATTGAAAACAAACCTTCAAGTAAGTCCCTGGGATTTCTTCCTATTGGGAGGGATGCCATCCTGTACATGCTGCTTTACCAGTCTGGTCACTCACAGAGTGAGTGAGTGATCAAAGAATGATGTTACAAAGATGTAACATCAAAGAAGATGTAACCTCTAAGTTTGCTATTTTGAATAATATATATATATATATATATATATATATATATATATATATATATATATATATATATATATATATATTAATATATATATATATATAATTAATATATTTTCTCTATTTATTTTCTTATGAAATGATAAAGCTTCCCATTTCATTATGTATGAGGTCAATTGTTTTTTATTGGAGTTAAAATTAACGTAGATATATGACGGAACCTAACCAACCCTACCTAACCTAACCTAACCTATCTTTATAGGTTAGGTTAGGTAGCCAAAAAAGTTAGGTTAGGTTAGGTTAGGTAGTCGAAAAATAATTAATTCATGAAAACTTGGCTTATTAGGCAAATCGGGCCTTGCATAGTAGGCAGAGAAGTGCGTTCTGGCTACTAGGTACGACATATATATATATATACTGTAAAATATATAGAATGCTTTACTGGAGATGAGAGGCATAATATAATATTCAAAGTGTAGTTGAGACATTTTTAAGAGAATGAAGTTTAGGTAATGCTTCTGTACTGTAATTTAAGAACAATTTAGGTGCCTGCTTTAAATGTCTTCCGTGATCAATTAATATCCCATCTTGTACAGTACTGGAATTATCAGCCTTTCAGATAGTAAATAAAAACTTTATAATATTTGTTTAATTTTCAGATAGTGATAGTTTTACTCCAAATGAAGAAGGCTTGGCAATGTTGATGTCAATGGGCTTCACTCGGGAACAGGCAGCACTTGCCCTTAAGGAGACTAGCAACAGTCTAGAGCGTGCTGCTGATTGGATATTTTCTCATCAACATGAATTGGATTCATTGCTGGCAACACAGAGTGGGGCAGCTGCAGTTCCTCCTCCACAGAAGCCCACTTACACAAATGGTTCTCCAAGGTGAGTCTCTTAATACAGTTGGCTTCATTCTTCATTCACAATTGGGGATTCTGGGTAGCCAACTCAACCATCACTTTCTTGTAAAATTTGTGTGGCTGTCATAAAAACTAAGTAGATTTTACACAGGATCTTCCTATTTCAGAGCCATATCATCTTTTATCTTATCTTATCTCTCCAGGCATTCTACCCATTTGGCTTCAACTACTTTTTTCTAGTGTTTTGTCAATGACACAGATTTGTAATTTAGAGGGTCCTCTTTGCTACCATTTTTGTAGATTGGAACAGTTTGCCTTTTTATTATTATTATTATTATTATTATTATTATTATTATAATATACCAGTATAATTAAAATATGATGTTTTTAATTAGTGCTTTCAGACATTTTCTTGGTTTGACTTTTGTTAATGGACATCTTTAACATGTTAACATTAATGGAAGCAATACCAATTTTCTTGGATTACTGTATTATATGATGGAAGTTAACTTTCCTCTTGATTAGAGTGCGTTATTGTGTCAGAACTGTGCTGTAAATTTTTGGACGCCTTAGTAAATGGCTTTGTGAATTACTTAAGCCGGCATTGTCATTAATTTCCCTCTTTTTTTTTTATTCCAGATACGAGCTGAGTGCTTTTATAAGCCACATGGGAACATCCATATTTGTAGGCCACTATGTATGTCACATAAAGAAGGACGGTGAGTGGACTATCTTCAATGACAACAAGGTGTCAAAGTCTGTCGATCCTCCCCTGGACCTCGGGTACATTTACCTCTACAAAAGAGTATCCACATAGTCCTATTTGCAAGAGGATTGTTGGATGCCCAGCAAAATGGCAATTTTTTATTTGTTTATAAAACTAGAAGAGACAATGTCCTATGAATCAAAAAGTGTGTTTTCAGACTAAAGGTAATGAATGCTTAGGTACTGAGACTAGAATCCTATAATTTGCTTGGGCATTTTGCCTTCTCGGTGAAGAAGTGAACATAACTGTGCACGTATTGCACATGACCTGTGATTATTAGGATTATGAATATCTTAGTAAATAAAATGAATTAAGCTATTTTAGAAGTGATAGAGTACTGTGAAAGTGAAACATACCTTCAGCACTTTAATACTGTATAGTTCTTTTCTGATGATAAATTTTGTGTTCAACATAGTGTGTAATATTTTAAAATTGTTGTTATAAATGACATATTAGACAAAGCCTTAACGAGCTTTGAATCTTCAAGAAACATTGTATCCTGTACATTCAGAAAATATATGCAAAATTATTTTTACTGACGTGTACAAAATTTTATGCAAAATAATAATGATTATTAAGTAAGAGGCCTTACATCTGACATCCTCACATGCAGTTTACTGTCTAAATATTTTAGTATAGTGTTTTACAAGGATCATTATATACGCATTAATTCAGCTTGATACTGTTTTTGGTTTTTCTTTAATATATTGCCAATAGAATTATACAGTAATTATTAACTACTTTGAAGGGCCTCTTTACTCTGTCTCTACATTTAAAGCGAGTCATTAATTATTACATAAATATGTGCAAAAATTGAGGCATTATTTGTGCTGACAAAAGTACCTGTATCAAAGTGAAAATCATCATAAAAGGTGCACTTAATATGCATTGCTATTTTTCACATTTGATAGCTAAAGATCCATGTCCCCATGCTGTCATTCTCTAGAACATACACCAACATATGTAATTGCATACCCAAAAACATTTTGATATATTTATAATTTATAATTATTCAATTAAGTGCCCAAATATGAAAATAGTTGTACATGTCTTTGTATGTATCAACTGTAAATACACGCTAAAAAATATTAGCTGTTCATCATTACTCATGAGGGATTATCGAATGATTTTGTACATTTCTGCATGTTTAAATGTTCTATTTAGCAACACAGCTTTAGTCTAATTTGAAGCACTAGGGTATATACAGTACAGCACTAAAAATTAATAAAATGTAATTGCTTGTTTTATATTTTGAATTTTACTTTTCTAGAACCTGAAATAGATGCTGGAATTGTACAACAGTTGGCAGAGATGGGCTTTCCCTGGGAGGCTTGTAGAAAGGCTGTCCACCTTACTGGTAACAACGGCACTGAAGCTGCAATGAATTGGGTGATGGAACACATGAGCGATCCAGACTTTGCTGAACCACTTGTCATTGAAAACAAACCTTCAAGTAAGTCCCTGGGATTTCTTCCTATTGGGAGGGATGCCATCCTGTACATGCTGCTTTACCAGTCTGGTCACTCACAGAGTGAGTGAGTGATCAAAGAATGATGTTACAAAGATGTAACATCAAAGAAGATGTAACCTCTAAGTTTGCTATTTTGAATAATATATATATATATATATATATATATATATATATATATATATATATATATATATATATATATATATTAATATATATATATATATAATTAATATATTTTCTCTATTTATTTTCTTATGAAATGATAAAGCTTCCCATTTCATTATGTATGAGGTCAATTGTTTTTTATTGGAGTTAAAATTAACGTAGATATATGACGGAACCTAACCAACCCTACCTAACCTAACCTAACCTATCTTTATAGGTTAGGTTAGGTAGCCAAAAAAGTTAGGTTAGGTTAGGTTAGGTAGTCGAAAAATAATTAATTCATGAAAACTTGGCTTATTAGGCAAATCGGGCCTTGCATAGTAGGCAGAGAAGTGCGTTCTGGCTACTAGGTACGACATATATATATATATACTGTAAAATATATAGAATGCTTTACTGGAGATGAGAGGCATAATATAATATTCAAAGTGTAGTTGAGACATTTTTTAAGAGAATGAAGTTTAGGTAATGCTTCTGTACTGTAATTTAAGAACAATTTAGGTGCCTGCTTTAAATGTCTTCCGTGATCAATTAATATCCCATCTTGTACAGTACTGGAATTATCAGCCTTTCAGATAGTAAATAAAAACTTTATAATATTTGTTTAATTTTCAGATAGTGATAGTTTTACTCCAAATGAAGAAGGCTTGGCAATGTTGATGTCAATGGGCTTCACTCGGGAACAGGCAGCACTTGCCCTTAAGGAGACTAGCAACAGTCTAGAACGTGCTGCTGATTGGATATTTTCTCATCAACATGAATTGGATTCATTGCTGGCAACACAGAGTGGGGCAGCTGCAGTTCCTCCTCCACAGAAGCCCACTTACACAAATGGTTCTCCAAGGTGAGTCTCTTAATACAGTTGGCTTCATTCTTCATTCACAATTGGGGATTCTGGGTAGCCAACTCAACCATCACTTTCTTGTAAAATTTGTGTGGCTGTCATGAAAACTAAGTAGATTTTACACAGGATCTTCCTATTTCAGAGCCATATCATCTTTTATCTTATCTTATCTCTCCAGGCATTCTACCCATTTGGCTTCAACTACTTTTTTCTAGTGTTTTGTCAATGACACAGATTTGTAATTTAGAGGGTCCTCTTTGCTACCATTTTTGTAGATTGGAACAGTTTGCCTTTTTATTATTATTATTATTATTATTATTATTATTATTATAATATACCAGTATAATTAAAATATGATGTTTTTAATTAGTGCTTTCAGACATTTTCTTGGTTTGACTTTTGTTAATGGACATCTTTAACATGTTAACACTAATGGAAGCAATACCAATTTTCTTGGATCACTGTATTATATGATGGAAGTTAACTTTCCTCTTGATTAGAGTGCGTTATTGTGTCAGAACTGTGCTGTAAATTTTTGGACGCCTTAGTAAATGGCTTTGTGAATTACTTAAGCCGGCATTGTCATTAATTTCCCTCTTTTTTTTTTATTCCAGATACGAGCTGAGTGCTTTTATAAGCCACATGGGAACATCCATATTTGTAGGCCACTATGTATGTCACATAAAGAAGGACGGTGAGTGGACTATCTTCAATGACAACAAGGTGTCAAAGTCTGTCGATCCTCCCCTGGACCTCGGGTACATTTACCTCTACAAAAGAGTATCCACATAGTCCTATTTGCAAGAGGATTGTTGGATGCCCAGCAAAATGGCAATTTTTTATTTGTTTATAAAACTAGAAGAGACAATGTCCTATGAATCAAAAAGTGTGTTTTCAGACTAAAGGTAATGAATGCTTAGGTACTGAGACTAGAATCCTATAATTTGCTTGGGCATTTTGCCTTCTCGGTGAAGAAGTGAACATAACTGTGCACGTATTGCACATGACCTGTGATTATTAGGATTATGAATATCTTAGTAAATAAAATGAATTAAGCTATTTTAGAAGTGATAGAGTACTGTGAAAGTGAAACATACCTTCAGCACTTTAATACTGTATAGTTCTTTTCTGATGATAAATTTTGTGTTCAACATAGTGTGTAATATTTTAAAATTGTTGTTATAAATGACATATTAGACAAAGCCTTAACGAGCTTTGAATCTTCAAGAAACATTGTATCCTGTACATTCAGAAAATATATGCAAAATTATTTTTACTGACGTGTACAAAATTTTATGCAAAATAATAATGATTATTAAGTAAGAGGCCTTACATCTGACATCCTCACATGCAGTTTACTGTCTAAATATTTTAGTATAGTGTTTTACAAGGATCATTATATACGCATTAATTCAGCTTGATACTGTTTTTGGTTTTTCTTTAATATATTGCCAATAGAATTATACAGTAATTATTAACTACTTTGAAGGGCCTCTTTACTCTGTCTCTACATTTAAAGCGAGTCATTAATTATTACATAAATATGTGCAAAAATTGAGGCATTATTTGTGCTGACAAAAGTACCTGTATCAAAGTGAAAATCATCATAAAAGGTGCACTTAATATGCATTGCTATTTTTCACATTTGATAGCTAAAGATCCATGTCCCCATGCTGTCATTCTCTAGAACATACACCAACATATGTAATTGCATACCCAAAAACATTTTGATATATTTATAATTTATAATTATTCAATTAAGTGCCCAAATATGAAAATAGTTGTACATGTCTTTGTATGTATCAACTGTAAATACACGCTAAAAAATATTAGCTGTTCATCATTACTCATGAGGGATTATCGAATGAGTTTATAGTCTTTTTTCATTGAGTTTCACGTATCTACTGCTATAAACATGAATCGTTATATGCCAAATAATATTTCAAGTGAATTGTGACAATTGGTCACAGCTCGATTGAAATGTCTCATTTGAAATACACGGAGTGTCTTCAAGCCAAATTTAAACTGAAAATGTTTAACTATAATAGGTATTGTATAAATAAGTACAATAATATATATATTTTTATAGTCAACTATTCATTAAGTATTCAGGTACATGACTAATAACAATATTTTGATATTTGTACCAGTTATGTATATAATGTGCACAGCATTTTTATAGATGCTAAAGTTCCTGAGTGCCAACTTTGTTCTAGGTTTTCATATGCTGCTGCTGTTATTCTGTTTTGTGTGTGTGGTGTTGAAGATTGTGTTGTGAGCTTGCTTGGGTCCTTCATTTATTTTTGCAACTCTCTTTTCTGTGTTTTTTGCTTTCTATCGTCTCTCAGACTTCATTATTTTGCATTTGTTGTCTTGAACACTAGCAGCCTGTCTAGGTCTTCCTGTAGTATCATGCAGTTCATGCCCATCTTAAGAGTTTTGCATTGTTGGCAAACATTACCATGTACAATACTATTTCCTCCAGGAGGTCATTTACTTGGATTAAAGACAGTAGTATTTCAATCATCAAACCCTGCTACCACTTACTTCCATCCTGACACATTCTCCTTCACTAAAACTGTTTGTAGTTTCCGATAGTCTGTAAGCTGATCAATTATCTTCCAATTATCTCAGCTTGTATTTCCAACTTGGTTATCAACCTTACCTTTTCCAGTACTTTACATGGAATACGTGTCGCTGAAACTTGTCTGTAGTTTAAGAACTTGTCTCTTTTTGTCAATTTGTACTTCAATTTTGCAATGTTTTAGATTTCTGGAGCTCCCTAATTGCTATTTACATATCTGCTGCTGTCTTTTTTTAGCTACTAAAAAATTTGGTGTGGTCCTACAGCACTAATCTGTTTATATTTTATGTTTCTTTATGAGGTAAAGAAATACTCATCCAAGTATTTCTTTACCTCATCCAGGAGGAGGCCTGGTCGAGGATTGAGCCGCAGGGACGTTGATCCCCAAAATCATCACAAGGTAACCATCCACAGTTGCTACCATATAATTTTCCTTCCATCGACAATACAATTAGGCCTACACTCTTGCTTTATATTGAAGCCCTTCTTGGGTCTCCAGTGATGTTCTTTGCAGCTCTCTCTGTTGCTCTCAGTGTGGCCATAAACAAAAATTTGATAACTTGGTACTTGATATTCTTATCATTGTGAAGTAGCTAGGGCTGTTCTTTGGCTTTAACTGCTATGTCATTTTCAAATGCACTCTGCTGCTGCTCTGACCCCTAGTATGCTCATTTCTGACCCTCCTTAGTGCCTTTGTGTTTTCCCTGCTAGTCTGCTGTTCATCCATCCCTTCCCCTCCCTAACCCACCCACTCTTTTTCCCTTCTGTCAACTCCCACCAGTATCCCATACCCAGTGTTCCAACCTGGCCCCATTCTCATCATCTGCCACTTTATCACAGCTTCTACACAAATGCCAGAAATTCGTAAATATATTTGATTTGTGTGCATATACAGTACTAGGGTTGAGAATCCTGATATCGGGGAAAGAAAGAAAAGAGGACAATAAATATTTGAAGGAGAATTCAGGGTACCATCTGCCTTTCATAAGATGGAAAGAGCAGGTGCAATACAATAATGTTCATAAAA